CCCGGGGTGCCGCTCCTCGCTGGGAGCGGGGCGCTGCGCTTGCCGGCGGCAGCTGAGGGGGCGGCCCGAAGCGCGGAGCCTGGTCCCCGAACTGGCGCTTCGGCTGTGCTTGTGCAGCAGTACGCGCACGAGAGGAGAGAAGTTTGGGAAGGAGTTGTGAAAAGGGAGGGGAAATGCATGAAGAAATCCAGTGAGAGCGCTGGCCGTGAATCGCTGCAAAGTGAGCGTACTGCTGGGACGCCAGGGCGTCCAGAAGGAGGTGCTAAAATGACAAACGTACGTCTCTGGTTCTGGTCCGCTTTACCAGTGCGGCGATATTAGCAGTTCGCTTAATACAAAAGCAGGAAAGATTTGGGTATGAACGTTTAAGACTGCTAAATAAAGATATAAACCAGTATGGGAATTTTGGGGCTTTTATGTTATAAGAGCTGGATGCGTTTGAAGACTATTAAAGCAGAGCTTGTCAAAATTCTTCTGTTGTTGTTTATTGGTGAATAGTCTCTCCACTGGAAATAGTAAGAGCCAAACTATTTTTCTTAAAGCTCGTAGGCGATCTAACCAATAGCAGATTAAACTTGCTGGCCTTTCATGCTAAGAAAACTGTTATTTTTTTTACTTCCCCACCGGTTATAGCCTAAGTATAGTTACTCTTGTTGCAATTTTCTTGCTCATGTAAAATGTTCGTAAGGTCTTGAAATTCTGATGATAGACTTGTATCAAAGGATACAGTGTCACTTTTCTATTTTATTTTGTAGAACTTCTCAATTGTGTGCAGCGTGATAAATTTTACATACAATATAATTTAATTTATATAGTTTGGGCTGAATGGGACATTTCTCAAAGCAGATTTTTTGCCAAGAAAAACCATGCTGCGTTTACGGTTTATGTGGAAGGCTTGACAATTATACTACTTTAAAAAGGAAAGTTGAATGTTAAGTTGATAATTTAACCTGGCACCTTTATATCAGCATCTTTCCTGTTGGAGATTCAAATGAGAAGACGCTATTACAGTGAGAATGATGAGTCGCTAGAACAGACTGCTAAGGAAAAGACTTACTTTTATCAAGTATAAGTTGTCAGAGTCTATTCAAAGGCCAAATGGGTGGTGATCTCTGACCTAAATTATGGAAGAGGGCAGACTACGTGATCTGTTGACTCCCTTTTAGGTTTACATACATGAATTTACTAGCATGCTAAACTATTTTTCTTGTTTAAGAACTTTGTTAGTAGCATTTTTAAATAGGCCAAAAAATTCTACTAGAAAGCTGCAGTTCGCTGCGTTTTGATTTAGCAAGTACAAGTTCACATCACATGGCCGTAGCCGGCTTGACTAATAATAACAAGAGTGAAAGAACTACACGAATATGAAACCATTCACATGTATGTGAGCTGCAGGAAAGGTCTTGCAACAAGTTAAGGAAAGTCAGAAATATATTATTTAAAAAAATCTATAAAAGGTGCTTTTGTATGCCTTCTATCTTGTCTGTATCTATTCCCTAAGAAGCTAACAGCTTTTCTGACTTGAGAACGGCAAGTTTTAGTTCCTAGGATTGTACTCGTAAATGCAAATTCTTTTGTAATCTTTGGATCAGCATTCATGGAAGAAATAATCCAATCCAAGCATTCCATTTTGGATGCTATGGACTATTTTCAGACATGGAATGATTTTCTGTTAATTTCACAGCCAAAAAGAATTTTATTCAAATCTTTGCGATGAACGTGTTAGATAAAGCAAAATATTAAGCAAAATGTACTTATTCTGTAGAACTTGCAGGTTTTAGCGGGGTTTCTAAAGGTAAACAGGTTGGTAATATTATAATAAAATGAAATCCTGTTTAGAATAGTATCAGTAGTTAAAGGACTCATTGTATTACTTCATCTTCCTGTGTTAGGATATGAAATAATCTTTCTTTAAGTTCACAGTAGTATGTACCACTCTGCTATCTTAACCTTATTCCCTGTCCAAGCCATAAAAGGACAAAAAGCCCAGGGCAGAAAGAGGCAACTTTGAACCTAAAGGTTCTCCTGGGAACCAGTGCTGTCCACCACCCCTCTCCTGTGGGATGGTCTATCCCAAACTCATAGTCTGAGCCTGGACTGGACTGAACTTCTTTGTGGAAGCAGAATTGGTGGGAAATGTGTTTTTTTTTTTTTTTTTTTTTTTTTTTAAATCTTGCCGCTATGCATGCAGGATTGGTCAGCGAGGAAATCCAAGATGTGAATTCCACCCATGGTCTGGTAGCTGTTTCCTTCTGGGTCTAGTGCCCTCTTGACTGTTGAAGTGACCAAGAAATACTTGGATGTGAGCAGGTCAGCTGCTGCCTTTTTAGCAGCTGGGTGTCTGGACCAAGTGGGTGGAATGTACCATACGGCTGGTGTAAGTTGCAGACTGGGCAGCTGCCACTGTCAACATGGCTCCTTTTTTAGGACCCTAATTTGGCATCCCTGTGAGCATGCCTCTAGAGAAAAACCTCTAGAGAGTTTTTCTAGAGAAAAATTTCTCTAAAATACAGTCAATTCCTAAGCAAACTTACTTCTTTGCTTCCGATTAATAAGTAGCATTGCCTGTATCAGAATCTATAAAAAATACATTACTGCTTAATGTAGATTCCTGTGGCTTTGACTTGTATTCAGGATCTCTTATTGTGGGCTAAAATGTGGGGGAGTGTGTGTGTGTGTGCATGAACGTATATTTTTGCTGATCTCAGGAAAGTGGATAAAGCTTTAAGTAACCTGAATATTTATCCTTTCTCGACATCATTGTAGCCTATGGGAATAAACCTAATTTCCTATGTAGATTCAATGCATTATTTTTGCTGATAATGATCACGTGGAAAATATCAGTCAACTGGCCTGCTTTTTTCTACTTTAGACTTTCTTGCTCTTATTAATAATGTAAGACCTATAAAGTCACTTTGACCAAACTCTAAATATTTTTGAAGATATTTCAACTGCAGTGATATAACCAAGTGAAAAGTGTGACTTTGTTTGCATCTGAAAACATTTGACAAGCATTTTTGAGATAAAGCCCCATACGTATTACATTTTTGATGGCATTATGCATTGACAGTATTCTGCGCTTATTTACAGTATATTGCTTATGACCTTGCAGGCTAGTGGGTTATTCCAATCAGTATGTTAGATGTCTGCATACCAACACAAAGATATGAGGAAAGAACAGCAGTGGGAAGTATTAACATGTGTTTATTAAAACTTTTCTGTACAGCCTCCATCAAATCACTTATATTAATACATTGCAGTCATATAGATCTAAGGTATTCACCGCAGCAGCTACAGAAACATAGTCCAAAGTATGACATATACTAGTTGAAATCTCCCATTACCATCTAGCATGTCTTGAAAAGGCTAAGCGGAACATAGCAGACACAGAGGTCTGTGAATTCATGAAAATAGTCTTTTAGAAGAGGAATGGTTTGAGAATGTATAGATGAGAGGCAGATTCTGCAGGAGTGACAGCAACGTATTAGCCTAAATAGCATACAAGATGTCAGAACAGTAGAATAAAACACATCAATGTCAAAAAGCTTAGAATTTGGCAGTAAAGCTTCATCA